GGTTGCCATACCACAAACACAGTAGGGAAGGATTTAAAGGTTGATTAATTATTATATAAATATTTTCTTCTGAAATATTAGTGTTTGAATGAAAGCAGAAGCATTGGCCTATTAAATATAAGCATTTTGCCAGAGTTCTAAGGCTGAGAAAAAAAATGATAATTTTGAAAGCAAAATTTTAACAACAGCCATGGAAAAAGAACGATGGTTTTCCTTGGAATCCTGGGTTTTTTTTAGAAACAATTTACCCCTAAACCACTCCTTTTTACTCAAAATGATGACCCCATGCACAATGACCTTCCCAGGAAGTTAAACTCATAAAATTTGAGTTACAGCAAACTTAAGAATTGAGTAATAGGTGTGAGGACATTGATCAGGGAGGTTCCTGGCCAGAATAGCTAAAATGGCCAGAAAGACCAGAAATATTTGAGCAGCTATTATGTGATTATGGTGGAGTTCCTTGGCACAGACTTCCAGGAACACATGAGTTCCTTAGCCTTGCCCACCCAGTGGCAGCTGGGTCCATGAGAAAGTGCAACCATGAAATACAGATTTAAAGAGAAGTTCAAGAAGATACCACAAGTTAGTTTTGAAAATTGGTTAATATTGTATGGAAAAGAAAGAATAGAATATTAAGCAATATATATATATATATATATATATATATGTATATATTTAAATTGAGCATCACATAGAGAAAGAAATTCTTTGAGTTTTCTGAAGAATAAATATAAAAATATATTATTATGCCTTTATAAATGAGCAGCAGGTGAGGAGCACAGAGCTGCATTAATCCAAAATGGAAAGTCATGAATATTGAATGTCTGTGCCTCCTCCTGAGGGGGGAGAGAGTTGGGTCTGAGTCTCTTATTCTTTTCTTGTCTTTCACAATCAAGGCAGAGACAGGCAGAGGAAAAAAAGAGAAGCACTGAAAGTTTGGTTTTAACTAGTTTATCCCTTAGATCTCCGATAGTTATCTATAATGTCTCCTTACATGAGTTGCTATGTCCACACTTAGAGGACAAGAGTTGTGAATACAAGTTTCTGAATAAATGAAAGGAACTTCCCAGTAGGGAGGCTTTATAGGGGGGGAGTCAGAGCCTGGCATACATCTCGGATTTTGAGCTCTGCCCATTCATGGGAATGAATGAATGATGAAACTGAGGATGGGTATTGCCCAAAAGGTGGTCATGTGAGATGTAGTGGAAGGACTGCCAATTGGTTTTGGAGACATACTTCTAGGTAGTGTCTGAAGAATAGAGGTAATTCCCCTGGAAATGAGTTTTTATCATTTTTTTTTCAATTACCAAACAAGTATAAAACAAGGAGGCATACTTGTTTTCCACTATATCTCAATAAGCTATATTTCTTCTTGGTGACTACAAAATCTTTAAGTGAGGTGAGTTCAAAACAGACAAATGACTAACAATCCAGATTTTCTGTCATCTTTTACCCAGTCAAAAATAGATCTCTTTCATCTATTAATCTATTTATAGAGATCACCAAATGTTCATACTATAAAACCAAATTCCAATCATTGCTGCCACCAATTGGGGATAACTTTTCATCTCTAAACAAACCAATAATAGAAACAAAAACCAAAATTAATAGAAAGGGGGAAAATCTAGAGAAATAGAATTTGAGCAAGAGTAAAGCTCTGCTGCCACTCACGTTCACCTCTGCACCAATGAAAAGGCAAGCCTGGGCTTGTTCTGCGCATGAGCTACGCTTTTCTGGCAACAGAGTTAACCTGGCCCTGTCAGGTGAATCTGCTGCACATCCCATTTCAAAGTCTTTCACATTATTTTATGACACTCCAATATGCCCCACAGGCCTTCCAAGAGGACGTGCGGCCTCTGTGCACGTTATACTCCATTATGGAAGGAACCAAAGAAGGGATTTCTCTCAATCTCTAAGTCTCACACTTTTTCTAGTGTAACAGCTTTCCTACCCTTTCCTACACAAAATAGTGTGTCTACTGTAATGTACTAAAAACCATCTCTCCTCATGACCATCTAAGTATCTAAATCACATACCCTTTACATACATTCGCTGTTATATGCTCTATTATAGCTCTGACGTTTTCTTATTTTGCAGAACTTGTTTATAAAAGTTCTTTCAATTACACTCTACGTTCCAATTACATTGTACATTGGCCATATCCAACTTACACCATTCTTTTGCCCATTGAACACTTCTTAATGAAAAATAAACTCAGCATTAGCATTATGAGCTAGAATACTGAACATGAACTGGCATAAAGTTTACAACTCTGAGAAATGCTTTTCAAGTTTGATTTGTTGAAATATATAATGCCATCTTTCATGATATATCTTGCTTTTTTTATTTTATTAAAATACATTGAATCTATTGATCAACAACTTTTAAAAATATTTTCTATTGGCAGAAACAAACAAACAGCATTAGTATCAATTCTTAATACCTTCTTCCTCAATGCTATACATGGTGATACCACTGGTTCCCATGCTGGAAGAGTAATTAGTATCATCAACATAACAGGATTAGATTCTTCAAGGGGTGAAACCCATCTCATTAATAATCATGACAATTGTCATAATTATCCACTTCAACTCAGAATTTCTTATTCACAAGTAATGTCTCTTTTAGGAACAACCTTGACACTTACAGTGATAAAATGGTGTCATTTCTCTCTTTACTACATTCAACACGTTCCCTGAAGCAATGGAGTACTTCAATAACAGTTTGCACTTTTTTCAATTTGCATAATTCTGTTGCCAAGGAGATACTGAACACTATGAACAAGTAATAAGTAGGCCTCACTTAATAAATTATTTTAAAAGTCAATGAGCCCGGCTGGGCGTGGCTCAGCGGTTGAGCGTCGACCTAGGATCCAGGCGATCGGGGTTCGATTCCCGGTCAGGGCACATGCCCAGGTTGCAGGCTGCAGCTGATCAATGACTCTCATCATTTATGTTTTTGTCTCTCTCTCTCCCCCTCCTTTCCTCTCACTGAAATCAATAAAGATATATTTTAAAAAAATAAAATAAAATAAATTTAAAAAGTCAATGAGAATTTTTGAGATCTTTCCTTCTGAATTAAAATGTGACTTCAGTGTTTCAAATTAACTGAGAATTCTCTTAACTCCATTTGTTAAAGAGACCAATGGCTTTTGAATATGAAAGAATTGAAAAGTACTGAACCCCAACTGTTTTACAGATGTTTCACCAAATTTTAAAGAAAAGGCCAATCTTATGCAACTTGTCTCATAAAACTTACTACCCAGTTCATTTTATAAGCTTATATATTATTAACTTCAAAACTAAACTCCATACAAAAATGTCACATATAAACATAGAGGCAAGCATGTGAATAAAATATTAGCTAAGAAATATCTAGAAATATATTTAAAATTTTATATTTAATTATTAGAGTATATACCAGTAATGCAAGAATGGTTTAACAAAAATGCATAATATATTTTATCACAATAATAGATTACAGAAGAAAATTATGTTATTTTATCAGTAGATGCAGAAAAATATATATTAGAGCAGATCGTGGACCACGGTTAAGAATTAGTGTCTAGACTCAGATAATATAGTATCCCAGGGTATTAATAGAACCTATAATAATACATTGAAGGGAAAAAACCCTCAAAAGTAAGAAACATTTGAGCATATTACATGTTTATTAATCTTCACAATGAGTACCATGAGACAAGTGTAGGTATTGCTTTCATTTTACAGTTGAGGAAAGTGAAATTTAGGTAGAGCAACTCAGCTTAAATCACACCTAAAATTAGCGGAAGTCAGAGCTAAAACTGTACCGTTACATTTAATATCAGTGTCAATACAAATACTTAACTTAATGATGAAAACATAAAACACTATACACATAAGCAAATGAGGTGTGTATATGTGTGTGTGTATTTGTATGAATCTTTCAAAAGGGCCTCATACTCAGTGTATATTGGATGATTGAATAAATTGTAAGAAAAGCTAGCTGGAGAACTTAGAGCAGTAAATATTATATGAAGATGTAGGGAGAAAAAATAAGCAACTAAGCAAAAGGCAAAAACTGAATCTTGAGTCAGAGCTAAGGAAAGGGGTTGTTAGATAGTGGCAGCAACTAACTACCGCTTAACCCAACAACTGGTTGAGAGGTAATCAAATGCTCGAACAGCAAGACTAGGAGATCAACATTTTTCATACTTGATGCAGAACACTCCTCTTCTACATGAATCATTCTACAATTTTAATCATTGTGAAAATAAAAGACTGCCCTGCCCTGTCACCCCACAATGCAATGCTACGGAGCTGTCTCAACAACTTCAACATTCCAAGTTTGGATTAAAGCTTTTCTATTATTTTTTTGTTTCACAAAATGTTATCTATCAAAATAAGATAAATATATAAGAAGATTTATAGATTTTTTTACCTAATATATATATATATATATATGTATATGCTTGCGTTATTAACAACCAACGTGCTTGATAGTTAAGGACTTGCTAGATTCATTAAACATTTCATCACCTGTAAAAGATGTTTAATAAATTACTCCAAACTTTGATGGAGTCACCTGGCAGTTATTCTAATGTAGGAGTAATCTAAAAAATAACTTGATCATGACCATCACTTAAGCTGTATGTATAAGGCAAATATTATTTGTTAAGAAAAATAATAATTATTAAATGATAATTGTGTAAACAGATAGTACATCAATCTTAGCACACAAATGGCATGCCTTTCTACTTAATACACCTGAACCAAGTTATAGCTCTCTCTGTATTGCATCTCCAAAGACCAAATAAAAATCGGGATGGTTTTAATTATCTTTATTTCAACCCACATTAAATAAGAATGTGTCCCAGAAGGATATGCCAAACTTATGCATATGCAGATAGTCAATTTTATATTCAGAGACCTATAGCTTTTCTGGGAAAAAATAACAGAATCAAAACAATGTAATACTTATAAAAACTGAAAAATAATTATTTTCTTTCTTTTTTGTAATTAATCTATCATCCATATATAAAAGAATGTATATTAAAATACAAAGGCAAAAGATGGAGTATATATTTTCTACATTACTTGTTATCATTTTCTCGTACAAGTATATTTAACAAATTTGAGGTGTAATGAACAGAAATTTTTAGGCACCCATTTCTCACAGCTAATTTATACATCTAAAAATTCTGCAAATAAAAATATAATGCTCTAGGCTACCCTGCTGTGAGGAAGCCCAAGCCAGGTGGCCAGACCATGAAGAATGAAGAACCATGAAGATGGCGTGACAGAGAAACAGAGAGAGCCCAGGGGTCAGACATGTGTCTAAGAGATGCTGTCTTGGGAGTGGATTCTTCAGCCCTGGCCACCCCAGCTAATATCATGTGGATCATAGATGAGCCATGCCTCTGATCCCTTCCGAAATTCCCAATTCACAGGATCTTGAGCAAAATGAAACGGCTGTTTTAAAACACTAAGTGTAGGAGCAATTCATTACATGGCAATAAATGATCAAAACAGGAATCAAGCATTGAGTTTTACACATGCTGATTTTGAGATGCCCACAAACACTCAACTTGTATTCAAGCTTTTGGATATTTGACAAATATTTTTCCGAAGACTGAGATAATATATTCAGACATCCTAGTTAAGTGCCTCCCTATTATTAATCACTTAACAAAAGCAAAATGGTTTTCCATTTTTAAAGTTACCTAATAGCCAAAGGACAGTGTAAGTTATTTATGTTATGAATCAGAATGCTGCATAAATTTTATAATTAAATCATGCAGAGAGGTAAGAAGAGGAGACACGAAATAAACAGTGCATGCATTAATGTCATCTTTGTTTATCGTGGATGGTAGATATTTGTTAAATGTAATAATTCATGGAATAAAAGCTTTAAATATTAAGTCTTAAAAATTAACCTCTAGAATAATGTGAAATATTATTTCTAAAGTACAGAGGGAGAGGAGGGCAAAAATGGTGCTTATTGACTGCATGATAATTCATTCTTTTTAGAGCAGAAAATCAATGTTTATAGGAGTTTTCTATTGCTCCCCAAATTATTATAGCACATGCATGTGTGTGTGTGTGTGTGTGTAATGGGAAACAATATGAACTGTATAATTCACNACATGCATGTGTGTGTGTGTGTGTGTAATGGGAAACAATATGAACTGTATAATTCACTTATAAAAAGAATATTCAATGCAACCCTGGCCACTTTGGCCCAGTGGGTAGAGCGTCAGTCCAGGGACTGAAAGGCCTCTGGTTCTACCCCAGTCACCACACGTACCTCAGGGGCAGGCTCCATTCCCCGCCCAACTGGGGCGCCCCCCAGAGGCGACGAAAGGCTGTGTCTCTCTCACACTGATCTCTCTTTCTCTCCCCCCCCTTCCAGTCTCTCTGAAAAGCAATGGAAAAAATATCCTCTGGTGAGGATTAAAAATAATAATATTATTAAATATATATTTTTATATGCCATAAATACATTTTGAAAAGATATGCAAAAATTAGTCCATTGTAGGAGAAGGAGAAATAGGAAAACTTATTTTTTTCTTTTGTAATTTGGTAATTTCAAATCAAGACTTTATAATAAAATAAAATGAATAAAATAAAATAATAAAGTAAAGTTCCAGTTGAAATATGTCTCAATTCTCCTCCACTGAATAAAAATAAATGTGCCCACATTCTACTTGAAATTATGAAGTCCTTATTAAGTTACAAATGTATTTTTTAAACTAATTCCCTTTTGATAATTAGAGGCTTCTATTCTTGGGTTCTACAAATCTTTCTGATTCCATTTTATCCAAAGTTATTTTAAGTTAGCATAATATGAATCCTCTCAATTAAATAATAGAGAATATAATATGCTATACTTCAAAATTGTGTTCTTGAACTTTCTCAATAGCCTGAATATTCAAATCTGTTGGAACTAGAGATTCAGGGAGCTGGAGTTAGTGTCTTAATTTTCTCCTTTCCTTTCTAATTTCACTCAAAAATTGCCCTTTTGACCACCATGTCACTCTCAGCCACGAACAATACCTAATGAATAATATTTTTTAAAAAGGAAAGCTTTCTACAGGCCATACTACTCTACCAAGACCAAGTCTCTGCTAGTCTGATGAAGCAGGGAACTATTTTGATTACTCAAATCATGTGGATCCCAAAGCATAATACTTGCAATAAAATATGTAGATAACTGAGTCAAAAATGATAAGTTTCTTTAAAGGACCTGTAAGTGGCATGTATTATCTGCTTCTCTTGCTAATAGAAAGCTGCCCTGCCTTACCCCATATCCTAATTCTTCATGTCTATGTGAATTAACTTAATCCATAGTGTTCATTTTGCTCCATATAAAACTCCTACCTCGTGAATCTCATGAATCTTTTATTTCTGTTATATCTATTATAACTAATTATTTGGGTTATGTTTTCTAACCAGAAGGAACTAGAAATAAACAGGCAAGTAAATGAATCTGTAGTCTTTATGTGAAATACCCTGAGGGGAGACTAATTCAATAGTCCTTTTGTGGCACTGTCAGAATTATTTTTCAAAGAACGAAGCCGTAGAGAATTCTGTCACTAGCTCAGTCTAAGTATATTTTATGAAGAAAAACAGATTTAAGCAAAGGAATGCTGAGAAAATTTATTGCACTGGGAAGAAAAGTTTAGTTTAAGAGATGAATGCCGTACCACAGATGTTTTATTAAAATTCCATCAAACCCACATTTTCTGTTTCTGCTTTGCATTCTTTACCTTTGTAGCACACGCAGGATGAGCTGCCCTGTGTGAAATGCGTTCCATCTATCAGAGTCCTCTGTAGTTCTAATATTTGAGAAATTTGAATTCATCACTGTGCAATCAATGATGTCACGTCTATTGCATCATTTTTCTGGGGACTGTCTTCTAATTTGATGAGGGGGTAGAAAGAGTGACCTGAAAGGTCATTTCCTTCTCTTGTTTTCACTGTAAAACACTGGGCCTCGGTTATGTTTGCTTTCTCGGGATTGTTAGTTTAATAAGTAGACATGCAGCCATTTGGGTATAAAAAAGGTAATAACTGGCAACTCAATACATGGAGTTAAATATGAAAGTTGTGTGAGATTCTGATGAGACATCTTTCCTTTGAAGGACACTGGAGCATGAGGGGGGCTTCCAGGACTTGAACAATAGTGTTAAACGCTTGTACAAGTTGGGAAGGCTGAGTACTAGGAGAAAAAAATAACCAGAGAGAGCATTTGGATTGCTTTCCTAATTCCTGCCATTCCCAAACATACCACAGAACAATCTGCACACATCTGTAGCGCAAGTGCTGCAAAGGGAGCCATAGATGGAGATTCTGACAAGCAAGGAGAACCAGACGTGGAATCACAGAGCGGGGGCAGGCGTCACTCACTTACAACAGAGAAACTGAGTCCCACTGGGATAGACCTGGGCTTCTGCTGTCTACAGCCATTCTTGGCAAGTCTCACTGACATTTCAGACACGCTTCTACGCCTGGTCATTTAAAACCAACACACTCCAGCAGTTGCCCTGAGACCGAGGTCAAAAGACCTTGTTGGGACAGCTGAGCCGACTAAGCTGCATTTCCCAAGGACGATGCTTTTCATAATTAAGCTTTAAACAGGGTAATGCAAAGAGGAACTGCGCCCAACTCTTAAGGCCCATTTTGCTGCAGTCAAAATGTCTTATAATGGGATTTTTCTTGGAACAGAGACAGAGTATCAGCAATAGACCTGGAAACCGTATTGGAAAGGAAGTTACATCAGAAAAATCCATGACTGCTTTCCTTTAGGTTCGTTCCTTCCTCTCGGTTCTGCCACGCATTGCCCATCTTCATCTTGTCAGTAAAATTTATGACAAGCTTGTCTTGCCGCCCTTATCACCAGCAAGAACACAAATGTTTTTAATTACCTGGCATATTAATTCAATCAAACCCACACTTACTTTGTATCTACCTCGTGTCCCACAGAGCAGCGCCATGGTGAAGGGCGCGGTGCACACAGACAGGCTCGAGCGCTCACGCCGGGGAGACAGAGAAGTCAGGGTCACGCCACCAGCCATGTACGCGGTGTCACGGTGCCCACAAGGATGAAGGCACAAACATTTTGAAGGTCAGAAAAGGTTGCCTGGAAAAACTACATTCAACTCTGAGACTAGAAACAATTAGTTGAAATTCTCTTGGCGAAGCAAGGGCGGATCTTTGCTCAAGCATTTAAAACAGCAAGTGCAAAATGTTGAAGGTGAGCAAAAATGTCATGTTCTGTATAGACACTTTACCCCCACTCCTATTAAAATCCACAACTCCCCTCAGTTTAGCCCATTGGTACTCTCTGACTTTTCTTCTGTCTACCCTTCTCCAGGGCTCCTCTCTTGCAATTAGCTCTTCTCAGCCTGTTTCATTTATTCATCTCTTTCTCTGAAATAATTTAATCCATTGCACATACTTTGTATTACTTAATGGAAAAGGAAAGTGAGACTAAAACTCCTCTTGAGCCTCATGTTAAAAAATATGATGTTTTATCCAGAGGCTGGTGGACAACCAGGAAAGAGTATTAAGCCACTGAATATCATGAGTTTGACCCTTTGAAATGTCTTTCTGGCTACTGTGTGCAGGATTAATTGGAGGGGTAAGACAGAAAGACTTCTCAGGAGACTGGCTAGTGACTTAATCTAGACAGTGGTCGTGGAGACAGATATTAGATGGATATAGAGAAAAGAGCAATGAGAAGCACAAGAGGAGGCAGGCTGGATCAGATGACTGGTTCAGCCATTAAATGTGTTAAAACTGGGTGTCTGGTGAACTTGAAAGTATAGTTATTAGACATGGGTATACAGGGGATAAATTGGTCGACATTTTGAAGTCTTTGGCCTACGAGATCCAATCTTGAAATATTGAGAACTTACACACACACACACACACACACACGAGTCACCTGCCAATCCCATAATTTAAAATTCCAGACAAAAATGGGCCTCTCAGGTAGGGAAGATTTGGAACCCTAATCATGGCTCTGGATTCACCGAAGCAGTCCTAAGACAAAGTTTTGAGCACACATTAAGCACATGTAAGATAAAGAAAACACCAGTGTGGGGATATTAAATAAGCCAAGTAAGGAAAAAGAGCTGATAGAGTATATTTTAAAGCCAGCGCCCACTGCGGGTTCCTAGAGCTTAATCCCCCTGAAGAAACTTGGGAGGCCCTCGCTCTTCCATCTGGAGGGTGAGAGTTCTATGCTCTTCCTATTGATCAATGCTTGAGAGCTGTGTCTGTGGCACATCCAGCCTGCTGCATGTAAGCCAAAGAGTTTTTCTACAACCATAGATAGCCTGTAGACAAAAAAGAACCAGGTTCTGGAAGTCAGGCAGCAACAGAGTCATAAGAGGGAGGGGATACAAGTAAGGCCCATTGTCATCTACTCTGCTACATAGCAGGAAAAAATCTTAAAGTCTTCACTAGCCCTGAGGAAACTGCAAGTGGTTCCTATAAATTGAAGGCACTAGGACTGGCTACAATGTTCACCAGCCTTTCAAGAGCCAGTACATAGTTTTGTGGACTTGCATATATTTCTTAATATTTATCTGTACCTTTTTATAAATAGGAATGTACAGAGCTGAGCAGCAATTAAGATAGGAGAGAATTATTAGAGGTTACAAGATGTTATCCTGCTCGCTTTGAAAATGGAGGAAGGGGCTACAAGCCAAGGAATACAGGTGGCTTCTGGAAGCTGAAAAAGGCAACAAAATCTTTTTTCCCCCTTAAAGTATCTAAAAGAAACACAGGTCTGCCAACAGCTTGATTTTAGCCCAGGGAAACAGATTTTGGATGTCTGACCTCCAGAACTGTAAGATAAGTTTGTATCATTTTAAACCTCTAAGTTTGTGTTAATTTGTTAGAGCATCAATAGGAAACTAATATAGCTTTTACTTATTTATTACTTACATTCATTTTAGTCTTAAAACATTCTAAAATTCTGCCTACTCTTGGCTTCTCAGGAGCTTGGTATTACATCTTGCTCTGTATGCTTAAAACGTTTTTGGAATTTCCATTTTAAAAGCTCTCAATAGACAACCTACAATGTATTAGGGAAACATTGGTTCTAGGAAGATCGAATAGTACCTTTTAGGTTTTTTCACCCCTCATGTTTATGCCTCTTCTAAATCATACGTAGATGGAAATTGGACCAAAGCATTGCCCCATTGCTTTCACACATTTTAACAAAATATTTTTTTTAATTCATAAAGATCCTATTGATCCTTCATTGTTTAAATGTATATAAATAGCTTTTTAAAGTTTGTGATAATGTTAAAATTCCAGATATCATGGAAAATTTATAAAGATTATTCAATCATATAAATGAACCTTAAAGCCCCACT